GCAAAGCAAGCCTCCTATGGCTCTCTGACTTGCGTAAAATATATCACACAGCTGAGGCCGCGGCTTCACATCCACAAGGCTGAGCCTGCCTTCCTCCTGCTCTTACCACTGGCTGTGCTTGGTCCTCGCTCTCTTTCTCAACAGCTCTCACTTCCTCACTTAGCAGGCAGATGGCCAGGAGGCGGCCAGGCAGAAGCATCTGCTGTTCTCCTCACCAGCACCAGCACCAGCACCCTTGGGTAGCCAGGCCAGTGGCAGAGGAAAGTTGCAAAACTCCCACTAGCCTGGACCGAGCAGACTGCAAAGTGGAAGGGAGGAGGAAGTTTCAGGGCTCTTCTTCGTGGGACCCTGCTCAGTGTGGGCCCTTGGCCATGACGCCGGCCCTGCTGAGAAGGAACTAGTTTTTGTTTAATTCAAGGTGATTGGCTGGTTCATAACCAACTTTTTGTGTTGTGTTGCATGTTGCTTGGGCTAAGACAGGAGAAATAGAACAGAACAGATACCAGACTTATGATGAAGAAGAAACGAAGAATGAGACGTGGAAGAGTAATTTGAAGCAGAAGGGCAGAGGCGGTGGGGAGGGCTTTGTGACCTTCGTGTCTTCCTATGAGTAAAAGGAAGAGAAGGCAGTAGATCTGTCCACACTTATGTGCGAGTAAATCCACAGTGGACTTTACTTCTGAAGAAACAACACATATAGGACCAGACAGCACATTATTTCCAGAAAGACACCCATGCATGTTTACCTCCCGCCAGCGATTCATCCAGGTCACAAATCCAACTTTATTTGGACAAAAAGTGTGCGGCCTTGTCTTTAAAAAAATACAGAATATGCAAGCCAGCTGTTGTAGCATTCCCAGATACTTGCTCTGTTTACTAAGGAGAGAATATCTTTTATGAAATGTTACAGGGAGGAGGGTGGAAAAATTGAAACAGTGAAAAAAAGAGAGAAATACATGAAAATCCATCAACGCAGCCCTTATCCTCAACTGGTTGCATAGGGAGGGGTGTTGAGGATTGCCTCTTATGCTTAAAGGGCACTTTCCTGCTTGCAGAAGGACCTGCCTGCCTCCTGTGATTTCCCAGGCTGGTCATGCAGACGGGCAGTAGATTCAGAGACGATTCTCTCCTGCTGGCATGGTGCTTGTCAGTCTGGAGGAATTCACGGCCTGGAAATGTGCTCCTAGCCTGCCACACAACAGCTACCATCACCTCCAGCCTGTTGTGTTCCAACACATCAGAAGGAGAGGCCGCATTTCCACAGCAGAGCACGTCCTGGGCTTGCCGAATAGACCAGGCTTATTCCTCAGCATTTCTGGTTAGGGCTGCCCAAAATCCTGCCCGAAACCCTGGCAGCCACTTCCAGCCAGCGCGGAGAACCCTGGGCTAAACAGACCACTGATGTGACTCAATATACTTCTATTGCTCCCATGCGGGCACCAAGATAGGTGAGGCTGAGCTGATGGAATCAAGGAAAGAACACCCCAGATGTAACCCAGCTGTAAAAGGATTTCAATAATCAATAGGATCTCAGCTGAAAGATAATCAATTCAGGGAGTAACAAGATAACTTGTATATAGGTGAAGCTTACACTACTGAGACCAGCATTCTCCAAAGTGGTGCCTTTCATACACGCTGGACTGCAACTTCCAGGTGCCATGCTGGATGTCGCACTATGACACCCAATAGCTCTCCAGAGCTCCGGAAAACTGACTTAGAATATTTATAGGTGCTTCCAGCACTAGGCAAATTGGGGCACTTGCCAGGGCCCCAGTAGGGTCCACTGGTGCCAAAAACTGTCCTGAAATCTCGGTCGACAAGCTGCCATTTTAATTTCTCAAAATGCCCCCATCGCTCCAGAGCCTAGTGGAATTTTCTGAATGGTGGTTACAAAACTGGATGTTGCCACCAGGTATGCCCATAAAGGGACCACTGATGTAGGAAAGGGGCCCAGTGCTAATTTCAGGTTCTGGGGCCCTTCAGTTCCATCAGTGGCCTCCTCCATCCATGAACCCTTCCTCTTCACACCACTGTCACCGTCTGCGGTTGCTCATCTTCGCTCTCCTCACTGATTCCACTTGCTTGCCCAACAGAGAACCAGTAAGCAATTCAGCTGTGGCATCTCCTCACCCACCCCCAGTGCCTGTCCAGAGCAAGAGCGGGTGAACACGAAGCTTGCAATGGTGAGCACAAGCAAGGGCAGACAGGCTGCTGGGGAATCCCTCAAAGTAAAGCCAGTCATTTCCTTATTTTAAGAGAGGGAGACAAGTTTCCTTCTTTAGCATCAGAAGAATTATCAGACATTTTTCTTTGTATTTTCATTGTCCCATCGAGTTCTTAACAAATCGTTTCAAGAAAATTGTTGGCTCTTAGGAGATTTTCAGTTAAAAATACATTTTTACAATTAGACTGTCTTTAAATAAGGAAAACCTACACTCTTCCACCTAATAAAGAGGCCTTTGCTGACCTCACCCACCAAGAAACAAATATTCAGCTTCTGTCCATGTTCACTGGCCCAACTGGAAAATCTACTTAAATAGAAACAGCCAGGTCTTTGACGTTAACAACAGGCGGTTGATTAACCCCTTTCTGCACAACAAAAAAGAAGACAACCAGAAGGAAACTCACAGCATTTACCTGTTTAAGTCACCATAAAAAGCAACCACACAAAAATGACCACCGTCTTTTAAGCTCCACCAAAACCGCACCATTATTTAAGACTGAATACATAGCTATTGCTCTCAAGTCAAACTGTTGAAATTATTGGCACATGCACCTCCCTTTATTTTGGATCAGGACAGCTTTGACCGGTGGCAGGACCCAAGCGGACACCCCAGACTGCATCTGACATCAGCCAGTGTGAGAGCTAAGGGTTGTATCCTATGATTCTCTGGATGCCTCGGCTGACTTTGTTTGTTTGTTTCTTGCACAGGGACCCTGCCCCATCTACAGGGTGGGAAACAATGAGTTAATTACTCTCCCCTGCCACAAGAAGCCAGTTGGCACAATGTGCCTTCTGCTGCTTCTAGAAGACACACAGGTCTTGTCCTCACCAAATCTCTGGAGTGAGACGGGCAGTGACTGAACTAGGTACATAAACAGTGGACTTAACAGACTGTCACTTGGGAAAGGACATAAATGAAGAGGTGATCTCTTAGGTGGTGTCAAGTTGATTCCAGAAGCGAAGGAAGAGCAAGCAGCACATGCAAAGCCACCAGCAAGCCATTCCCATGTGTGTTCCACGCAGTGCGCTCCCTGACGGCATTACAGGTGAGCTTTGCTGTGGAGGCTGTGATCAGCACGAAGGACTGGGATGGGGAGCAGGGTTGGTCTGAGCTCATGGAAGCTCAGAATAGCAGTCAGAGGGCCAACAGCCCATGGAGTCAGTGCTCCACGTAGGTCACCAAGCTGAACCATCCCCCACCCCACCAGATGGTTGTCCAGTTGCATCTTGAATGCCTCGAGTGTGGGAGAGCCCACCACCTCCTTAGGTCATGGTTCCATGGTCATACTGCTCCAACAGTCAGAATTTTTTTCCTGATATCTAGCCAGAACTTGGCCTCCTGCAAAATGAGCCCATTATTCCATGCTTTGGACTCTGGGATGATCAAGGAGAGATCTGGGTCTTCCGCTTTGTGATAGGCTTTCAAATACTTACAGAGTGCTATCATATCACCCCTCTGTGTGCTCTTCTCAAGGCTGAATATGCCTGAATATAGTTATTTCCATTTCCCCTCCTAGGGCTTTGTTTCCAGTCCCTGGATCATCCTCGCTGCCCTCCTCTGAACCTTTTCCAGCTTGTCTGCATCTTTCTTAAACCGTGGTGCCCAGAACTGGATATAGTACGCCAGATGAGGCCTAACCCTGAGATCTGCGGGAGAGGCCCTTCTCCGGGAACCCTCCATGAAGGAAATTAGGAGGGTAGGTACTTGGAGAAGGGCTTTCTCTGCGGTGGCGCCCAATCCATGGAATGCGCTCCCCAGAGAGGTCCGCCTGGCGCCGTCGTTATTTGTTTTTCGGCACCAGGCAAAGACCTTTTTATTCAAACATCATTTTACCTGTTAATACTATTTATTTCTTTTATTCTTCGGCCAGGGCGACTTATTTTATATTGTTAACTTGTTTTATATTTTTATTGTATAATGTTTTAATTGATATGTTTGTGAGCCTCCCCGAGGCTTCGGCGAATGGGGTGGCATAGAAATTTTCTAAATAAATAAATAAACCAGGGCCAAGTATAGGGGAACTAGTACTTCATGGGATTTGAAAGTGACACTTCTATTAGTGCAGCCTAAAATAGCATTCACCCTTTCTGCAGCCACATCACAGGGTTGACGCATCTTGAGCTTGTGATTGACAGGAATTCCAAGCCCCTTCGCACCTGCAGTATTGTAGGGCCAAGGATTCCTCATTTCATTTCTTCCTCCTAGGGGCAGATGTCCGCTTGGCACTGAAACCCACTGGATGAGCCTGGTCCAGTCTCTGAGTCTCACCTAAGCTAACTCAAAGGGTTGTTGTGAGGATACCACAAGGAGGAGGAAAGTTCCATAATCCACCTTAGGTCCCTTGCAGGAAAAAGTCAGACGATAAATATCATAAAGATCATAAAGATATTTATGCCCCCCAGGAACAGCACTGCTGCCCCCAAAGACCATCCAGGTCGTTTATGCAGCTCATCCCTGAACTGAGGGCAGGGTCCCCGTCCTTTCTGTCCTTTCCTCTTAATGAAAGGCCACAAACCCAATCAAGTGCGTCTACCTTACATTCGAGTAAATCAGTGCCTAGGATTATGTCCTGGGGCACAGATTCACGGTTCTCAAGCTTACAGAAAGCTCCTTTACTTCTTGGACGCAGTCTGCTAACCAAGGCCAGCAACCACGGTTGTGATCCAAAACCCACGCACCCTGCCTCCATCTTCTAGGGGCATATTCCGACGTGGCTCGCTTCAGACCTTAATCCTCGACCCCTCCACCCCAAAACTCCTGCAGAGAAGCGCTTACCTCTGTTTTACTGCTGTATTTCAAGCCCGAGTTAAAAGCCTGCACTTTGGCCCCAGAAGGTGGGTGATAAATATTCATTTTCCTCTCCTTGGGAAGCTTGTAATCCTTCATTGCGACCAATTATTCTCTCCCCGTTAGAAGAGAATCGGCGGGTGGGGAGAGAAAGACAAAGAGAAATTCAAAAGATCCGCAAGACTTTTTCCACGCTCCCAAAAATACAGAAAGTGCTTCCTAGTCTCTGGGCCGGTCAGGGAAAGCCTTTCCCAGACGCCATGGCTGCTGAAGCCGTTCTCCGGCTGAAATCCGCACGCCTTCAGAGGAAGCAACTTGGCCACAACAGGCAAGCGAGGAAAACGGGAAGAAAGGGTAACAAAAAACCAAGTCGGGTCGGCGCTGGTGTCCGCAGCCCCGCTCCCCACATCCGGCGGCTGCGCTGAGCGTCTCGCCTCCGCCGCGCGGGGCTTTCCTCCGCACGCCGTTCTCCAGGCGCCCCTTTCCGCGCAGGTAACTTAGTTTCAAGGGCGGAGCCGCAGCACTCGCTGCCTGCTCACACGAGATCTACCTGGCCGGCCAGCTCCTCCTCGCTCCGCGGCGCCCTCCCTCCCGGCAGGTGAAGAAACGAGCAGGAAATGCTGCCGCGGCTCGCTCGCTTGCGCCACCGCGTTGCGCAACGAAGCATCCCGCTTCGTGCGCAGGAAGGCTCCGAGGCGAGGGGCAGGGCAGGGCAGGGCGGGGCAGGGGCGGGACGGCCGGAGACCCCCGGCCCTCGGCGCCGGACAGGAAGCCTCGTCTTCCCCGGGGGCTACCTGCGCGGCCGTTTTTTGAATGCCAGCTCCATGGCCAAGGTGGACTGTGCAGCCGTGCTTCGCTGCAAGGGTGCAGTGCGTGTGTCGACGCCTTTGGCGTACAGCCACCTGTTCAGGGAAGGAGCACTGCCCGTGGTCTCTGGATTTGGGTTCCCCCGACAGGACAGGCTCCACCTGCGGTACCTGCCACTCTGGGGGCAACGCTTCATCCATCACGTGAAGCATGAAGCTTTGCCTCGGATCCTCCCTCCAAAGCGTGGATGTTGCCAGGAGACTCCCCATGAGGAAGTGCTGTGAGGTCAGGGCATCAAACTATCCCTCCAGGCCCAAACCCCAGCTTTGGGCACAAGTTAAAGCAATCTGGCTTAGTAGTGGCAGCCCAGGAAGGAGATCTTGGGGTTGGCGAGTTCAATGGCGGTGATGACCCAACATGTCACAGCTGTGAAATGGCAAGCTCCATGTTGGGCATCATTAGAAAAGGAAGTGAAAATAAAACTGGCTTTCTGCAAGGCTCTGGTGCACTCAGAATGCAGTGTGCAGTTCTGGCTGCCATGCCTGGAAAGGGGTATTGTAGAACTGGGAAAAGCACAAAAAGGAACTGGAACAAGGTTACAACATCTGTGATTGTATAGAAAAAGGGGAAACGTGATAGAGGCGTGTGTGTTTGTGCAGGTTTTGTCCTTCTCTCATAATATGAAAACTTGCGGCTCCATTGAAGCTGATTGGTGGGAGATTCCGGTCAGAAAAAAGGAGGCATTACTTCACACAGCACATGGTTCGGTTATGGGATTCGCCTTCACAAGGGTAATGGGCAGCCACTGCAATGCTTTCAAAGGGGGCTGGATGAGGGGCGGGCTACCAGTGGCTACTAGTCCTGGCTGGCTAAATGCCACAACCTGTAATGAATTCCCAGCCTGCATTGCCTATGCCAGCTAGAGGGTACCATGTTTGTCTGGAGTGATAGGAATGCAACCTTAGGCTGCCGCAGCAAAGTGGCACAAGGCCTGCAAGGTTGGAGAGTATCGTTCACGAAACATGATGCGACAATAAATTTGTCTTTGATGTGCAGCAAGATGCTTTAATTTTGCTCTTATATGGCAATTTGTGGGGTTTGCGCATGGTAACTTGTGTTGCCTTGACCACTCAGAAGCCATTCATGTTTATATATCTATATATACACAGAAAGAGAACAGCAGCATGCATCCAGAAAAAAGTTCTCATTTGCTGTATCTGAAAGGTTTTAGGGGACTGCCATCCCCTGGCAAAATGCCTAATGTGGGAACTGCAGTCCGAAATACGAAAATAAGCTCTAAATGTATCTGTAAACTAATTTCAGATTGTGCGGTGCTGTCCTTGAGCTGAGTTCAGAAGGTGCAGCCGGTGTGGCAGCCAGGTCAGTGACTGGGAAGTGCAGGTTGAAACACGTAAGAACGGTTCTGGCCCACTCGCATTGGCTTCCTGTATTCTTCTGGTTCCAATCCAAGGTGCTGATTCTAAGCTGTAAAGCCTTACATGGCTTCGGACCACAATACCTGTTGGAGTGACTCTCCCAACCACAGTCTGCTCAGATAATATGCTCAGCTTCTGGGGCCTTCCTCGGAGTGCAGAGGGTAGCCACAAGGGGAGGACTTTCTGGGTGGCGACGGCCCACCGTCTATGGCATAACCTCCCCACTGCAACCCAGCCGGTGCCAAATCTGACATCTTTTTGATGGCCCTCTTTTCTGAGACTTTTTTTAAAGACTCACCCTGCCTCTCAGGAGTTTCAGCGGGTCACTAGGTACTTTGTTACTAAAGTCACTCTTTTGTTATTCCTTCTTGTCTGTTGTTACCATGTTTTTAACTATTTGAAACATGTTTTTCCTGAGTTTTATGATACTTTCTTGTAATGCTATCATGTGTTTTTATGGACTGTGTAAACCACCCGGAGGGCTTCAGTTGCGGGGTGGTATAGAAATGAAACAAATAATAATACACTTTCATTCTGCAAGTTGTTCCTTCTTTTAAGCCAGCTCCCCATGTTTTAACAGATGCGTGACCAGCAGGTGAACTTTTTCCGGTATGGAAAGAGATCCTGAGCTTTTGAACTGCAGCTTCCTCCTAAAAACATGGCTGCAGTGCACAGCTGGGCCAGACAGAAGAACATAAGAAATGCACTTCTGGATCAGAGTGTAGGCTCTGTAATAAAGTCCCATAATGCTGTGCTCAGCTGTCTTTGTCCGTTTCCCATAATGACCAATCAGATGCCTCTGGGGCCAAGGAACCCCCCCCATCAGACAGTAAAGGGCCTCTCACAATGCTACTCCCCAGTAGCTGGTATTCAAAGATAGACTGCTGCTGAACTTGGAGGTGCCCCTAGGTGTGGATGAATCTCAGGTCCACGGACCTAAAGCATCCCATCAGGGACTCTTGAGATTGTCACACTCCCTTTCCCCTGCCCCCCCCCCACTGCAAAGGTAAAAAATGCCTACCCTAAGGCTTAATAACTGGCAGCAAGTAATTACAGTAAGCTAAAATATGCTGGCATTTTGACCCTGCCTCATTTGCTCTTTGGCCACACCTATCACTGGAATGTAGTTCCCAAGAGCTGCTCCAAATCCACATTCAGCCCATGGCCTGAAAGAGGTTCAATGCACCTGCAGTGAGTCAGAATAGCTTGCAACTCTCCCCAACCTGTCTTCCTTGAATGTGTCTATCCACTGCTAAAGCCATCAAGCTGAGCATCCCCTCACCTGTGAATTCAGGAGCTCTATACAGTGTGGGAAGTAACGCTCGCTTTCATCTGCCCTGAACAAGCCGCTAATCGGTCTCATTCCCTTACCTGATAGTTAATGAATGTTAAGATCAAAGTGGAGCTCATTGGGAAGGCAGGGCGGGCAAGACTGGCAGTCCTGTGCACTGGGGTGGGGTGACAGGAACCTGAGTGAGGTCGGGTCACAGTGGCAGAACAAAAGGGAGGGTGTGAATGGAGCAGCAGGACCATTTGACACACAGGCCCTAGCAGTGGCAGCAATGGGCTCCATTCGGGCAGCCCAATGAAAGAGTGGAACCTAAGAGCTGCTGCCTTTCGTGCCAGTTTGTCCTAAGAAATAAAAGCGTGGGATACTGTGCGCTGAACAATGAAGTAAAAAGGCTCCATGTTCTTTAATCCAGAGCTAGGCGTGTCTGCCAGTAGATGGAACCAAAGGCATGGCTCAGGAAAGTTTGATTCATCTACTGCAAATACTGTACCATGTTAAGCTGAGCAACTGTTGCACTGTTCAAGCAGAACTGGGATTGGGAAAGTTCAACAAAGCACCAGGCAGGTTAGGCTCTTGCTCCAACAGCACATAAAAGAATGATTCATTGAAAGGAGTGGCCCAAGAAAACGCAACCGAGAGTAAGTAACAAAGGGGCATATTATGTCATGAGAGCATGGGCAAAATTCCATGTTACTCTTAAGCTTTCTGAAAGAGGAGGTGGTTGTGCTCTAGGACAGCGATGACGAACCTTTTAGAGACCGAGTGCCCAAACTGCAACCCAAAACCCATTTATCGCAAAGTACCAACACTACAGTAAAACCTGAAAACTGGAGTTTTAGTTTAGAAAAAAAACCTCACAGCCAGTCCAAGCATAGATAGATAAATCCGCTTCGTATAAAAGAGCAGTGTTATTAAACACATGCATTCTCTAGCTACTACCCAATTTTTTTTGGTAGAATTGCTGTTTCAAACCTCAGTCTAGCCTCAGCTTCAGATACAATTCATATTAAATGGTAAATACCATTTTGTGATTACCTCTCCTTTTAAGCAAATGAAGTATGATTAACTGTGAAAACCAAGGTTCCAGATTGCAAGCCAAGCGGCTGTATTCCCACACAAACACACGCGGGCGCATACATTTACCTTGAGATTACCCACACCTAAGCTCCCTGGCAGAGTCCTTTCCACTGTGGTTGGGGAAGGATCTGACACACATTTCATCAATGAACCTGCACAGTAATCTTAGATGAAGAGACTCCTGCCCTCTGCTCTCTAATAGAGTCCAACTTTCCAGAACTGCTATACTAATCACAAAACTACTCTGCAGTTATTTGAAACTTTAAATTTACTGTATACATTTACTGCTATTATTTACCTTTGGAATGGACACAGGACTTCTGGGATCTATTGTATTTTCTGTTAGAAAGCTATGGTTTATCAAGCAGAGCCAGACGGAAATTAGCAACAGGATGAAAGAAACTGATGCAAAATTGTGGCAAGGAAATATGGCTAATTACCTAAGTTCCATACATTGAGATGACCTGCACAGAAAAGTAATTGGAGTCATTACAGATTAAGGATTCTAATATAAGAACAAGCCAGTGGAACTGCACAAAGACTTTGCCAGTCAGCCAATTAATATTCATATTTTATTGGTGAAAAATGCCCAGACAAAAGTAATTTACAAGGTTAGTCACGGCAGATAATTTTATTTATTTGCAGTTCTATCACTGGGAGTCAGCGATCCTTGGAGATCTACCATGAATCACCCAGAGATCTTAACTGTAAATTCCAAGATATCCGTTTTCCACTCCAGCTGTACATAACACACTAATAATTAATTGCATGGAAGTCTGGGACTCAAAACGGATAGAGACAGACAGAGATAGGACAAAAAGGGAAAGAATAAATTTGAGCTGGAGTAAGAGTGGGCAGGACTTAGCCCTGGAAAGATTGTGTGCAAGATGCTGAGGAAGGAGGTCAGTCTTTTCATCAGCAGGACTGTCACTGCAGGACAGTTTCACTGTTTTAATATATACAGTGCTGTTAAGTATGAGGGCCAGCAACTTGGCCCCACTTTTAAAAAAATTATAAATGGGGGTCATTTGTGAATTTTTGTTTGCACAAGAATGACTACCTTATCTATTGAGCTGCCTTACAGAAGAGGTTTATCCTTCTTTACTTCTGTGCTATGCTCCAAATCGTCTCAGAACTCTCTTCGGGATTAATCACAAATTACTCTTACATCAACTTTGTTCCTGTATGTGCCTGTAATTCATCTCTGATGGTACCTTGCAAAGAAGCTTTTCTCCAACTCTAAAGGTACAGCAGAGATAGTTACCATATAAATTCAAATCATTCAGAAAGATTATTTTTTCAATTTGTGTTTCTAATTAGATAAAGCAGTTTGATAAAACTTAGAGACAGTTTACGAAAGCCAGTGTATAACTGACTCATATCAATGAAAAATGAGGTATCCATAAGTCCTCCATAGTTTCAAACTTTCCAGTAAAGAGCCGTTATCACTATGAGTTAAGTCTAAATTGAAATCTATTCCATGAAAATATGACACACTTTCAGGAGAGAGTTTTAAGAGCCTACTGTCAAATGTTTAGTTCATTAATTTTGGCAAGAAGAATGAAAAGTGCAACAGTACCATTTGTTCTCATGGTCTGGAAGGCTTTGTACATGTCTAGAGTATTTTATGCATTTGTGTGTACATTGTTTTGCATCTATCTGTTTGGGAAGGCAAAACATTTAACAATGTTACACCGATTTAATGCCCCATTGAGTTTGACTTGTGACATACGCATCTTTGTCTATGTACTATCATTAAAAAAACTATTTTAAATAATAAATGGCAGAGATATGCAAATACAGAGTTTTCTTTTCTTAGCTGTTGTGGTGCGAGAAAACAGCTGGACTTCCCACATTTTCAGCGTGGCCTGTAACAGGCCAGGTCAACAACACCTCAAGCAGAATTGCAGCTGAAGGCTTTCAAGAGCAATTCTGTTCCATGCTGTACAACTGACCAGTGAAAGGCAACACAATCATTTAATTTAATTAGAGCGTATTCCAAGGCATCCTGCAATGCAGACAACCAATTAAAAACACATACTTGTAGAGGGTGGAAGAACATATTACAAATAAATGAGCAAAGTCTGTTAGCGGGATATGCAATAAATATTACACTACATAGGCCAGGATCTTCTTTTTCCACCACAGTCGAAAAGAAGCAGGGAACTAGGATCTTCTGGTCTTTCCACTTCTGTGATACACCTCTCTTTTTACTTCTCCCTTAAACATAGGGAAAAGTTCCAGATCATAATATAATTATACTGATAACAGAAGACTGTTCATTTAGTTTAGTAACTATTTGTTCAGAAGCTGGGGAGGCAATACAAAAGTTAGTAAAATCAGCATCCATTAAACTGGTGAGAAGAAACTGAGTTTAGCACTTAGCCTCACGCTGGCTGTTTTCGTTTCCAAAGCTGGATTTTCCTGTGACTGAAAGGCCAAGCTAGCACAGCGCCAAGGGAGGTGGACTGGGCTTGCTATTCGCCCCCTTTCATGGCCAGTTCACATATGTCCGTACAAGAACCACTCATTTGCCGTTTCATGTAAATACTCAGCCTGATGAGGATAAGGCAGGCTGCTGAAAGCCCAGCAACGGAAGGAAGGACAGTCAGCCAGAAATGGTCTCAGTTTAAAAAACCTGACTTAAATATAAAATTCACAGCGAAACAGAAAAAGCTTAGGCAATCAGTATTAAAAATCCAGAACCTGAATGGCTGTAAGAACTGCAGAAAGGATAAAACTGACATTCAAGCTAATACAACGTGTCTACTTCTTCAAGGTCCTCTTTGTTCTTCTTGCCTTGTGCAGCGAGAGTCACTGAAACTTACATTCACAGCACGGTCCTGGCAACAAGCCTCTTCAACTTATCACGTTGGAGTTAAGGTAATTAATATACAGCATGGTCCTTGTGTCAGGGATGCTTCTTTTGAATCAAAGCAAGTATTTCCTACTGGTGTTTTCAGTATGTGCAGAATTAACTTGCAGATCATTGAGAGAGGATTCTAGCAAGCCCTGAATGGGTGAAAACAGAACAAAAGGACTCAAGCAGCTCTTGCCAAATTGTATTTACTGCTGATCTTGTGCCTGTTTCGGAGATGGTGCTGCTGTCACAACTACTGTGGAGACTGTTTTTGTAGAACCAGACACTGTTCCCTGCTGGAGATGAGAGGCTGGGACAGTCTGAATTCGCACCTGCGTGAAATGGACAGAAGAATAAATGTTACTTCTATCAAACTTGGGACTCTTTTTATTATTGGCTAGAGAAACGGGACTTGGCAGTCCCGTTTCTAGATTTAAATATGTTTTTAAGTTATCATAAATGGAAAAAGAAGGGTGTGGGGGCTGACCCAGCAGGCCCGTCGTTTTTGATGATTGATGTTGTTTTTAGTTTTCCTTAGTTTTTTTAGGATTATAATTTCAAATAAAACTTATTTTAAAAAAAGGAGAAATGTTGACGATGCACAACACAAATACTGGGAATAGAACTGTGATTACGAAAAGGCCTTCACTCACAGCGTGTACTCGTTTCACAGGTTACCAATTACACTGTTTATACAAATCTACTGATAGGGACATCTCCCCCCATCTCAACTGCTTGTGCAAATTTCTAAAAGGAGTAAGAATCAGAATAATACAGTACTATGGGAACGTGCCACTTCAAAACCAAGCACTGGTGGCAACTGAGGGAAAGGGACAGGAATGTGCGGTCCTTACCTGTGTCGCTTGGCCTTGCTGCTGCAACTGTTGCAGCTGCTGTGCAGTCAGGAAGCTCACGGGCTTGTTCCCAGCGATCAGCTTGGTCCCAGCTGGCATTGTGGTGAGGATGATATTTCGACCCAGTCCACTGATACTATTGAAAGAGCCCACCAGGAGGTCAGTGCAGAGGCAATGGAACTGGATCTGGCTCGTGTGCTTTGCGCGTCACAGCAAGGGCTGGGGAGGGGATCCACACCATACAGGCCTTTCAGTACCAGGCAGCACGCAAAGTTACACTGGCGTCACTGCCAAATTTGGTGAAGAACATCATTTTGTGAAATCAGCAGCATTTGCCTTAAGAGAGTTACTGTTCACCTGCTTAGGACTAAAATGCTACTGTGCTTAGGAACTGCCCAAATACAGCCCTGCACTCAGGACCACAGGCTGCCCTTGACCCGTTTTTCAGTTGGGGAATCTTTGAACTACATGCGTGCTGCTTTAGAGTGGAATTTGAGTGCCAAAGGACTGCATAGAAGGCTAGGCCTGTGCTTTTACACGGCAAATATCCACAGGTGAAGTTCCTTTCCAAATGGAAATAAAATGTTCTTACTGGCTAATGTCTTCAAACCAAGCTTCTGGCAAAATTTGTGTGTAATGCATTTTCTGGGACTAAGAGGGAATTTGAGAACTTCAATTCTTTTGAGCCTTGCTTGCGCCATTTCTATTGATCTAAATGTAGCCTTAATATTCACTTTTAGCAGGGAAACACGACAGTGAAGTTCACACCATATTTCTCTGCACTACTTACTTGGCCCCAAGGTTGCCTTTGATGATGGGTGCAGTCACTACACTTTTTCCTTTCACAGGCTGGCTTATGACTGAGAGGGGCACTGTGATGCGGGCAGGCAACTTCCCCTGGGAAAAAGGAATTGGGACACAGGTGTTATGAACATTCAAAAGCACTCTCTTCCATGCAGATACTAGGGAAGACACAGGCCAAAAACTGAATTTTCCTTCTTTGCACAGAATATATACAGCAGAGTGCATGAGCAGCCATTGGTGGCATTCCGAACTCTAATATAGGCGAGGGTGTAGGTAAGACAAAGCAGCACCTTACCTTAGAAATGCAGACTTTTTAATCTACCTGCACCTGCCCCCCTCCCGCAAAAGGCCCATGTTACTTACTGCCTGAGATGTGGATACGACGGTGGTGCTCACCGGAACCTGCCGCATGGTGGTGGTTCCTGTTCCAATCGTGATGGGTGTCCCAGCTGCTCCTGACACAACCGCAACTGCCTTGGATACGGAAGCGGTCATGGCTGGCAGGGAAACCGCAGAGGTGTGGACTGTGCCGGACATGCTCACTGAAGAGGAAGCGGGCATTTGCTTAGCATGAGTGGCCACCGTGATAGTCTGCCCAGCTTTTGGTGGCATCACCCCCATCCCCTGCACGATCCTTATGGTGGCAGCCGGCTTGGCTTCAGTAGACGCCACTGTAGAAATGGCCTTGCCCTTCTGGTCTGCCACCGTCATGCCCAGGGCAGGCATCAGTCTGAACGCTGAACTGGTGGACTCCACGGTCTTTAAGTCTGGAGTCACCTTAACCACTGCAGGCCCAGCTGAGCCTGGTGAAGCAGAGGTTGGTGTGCTGGTCCTGGCGGGAGAGTCAGAAGACTGAATGGGGCTCGATGTCACTCGCAGAGTGGCGGAGATGCCCTTCCCAGCAGAAGCGCCTCCTGCTGCAGCACCAGTGAAGAGGTCTTGGGTCAGCTTGACAGTGGTGACCTGGGACTTTGCCAAAGTAGCCATCATGTCTGGGGTGATGCGCAGCACAGTCTGCCCCTTCGCATCGGTGGTAATGGAAGAGGGAGGAAGTCGCAGGACATCCTTGCCTTGGATGCGGAAGTTGGAAGCAGAAAGTGGGATGCTGCTCCCGGGCTGGCTCTTCATGCCAAGCTGTCCTGTTATGGCCATCTGTAAGATTAAGTACATTGTGCTGACACACATGCGTAATTGGCAGTGAAAAGTAGTTATGATGCTACACTAATGATTTAAAAAATACAGAGACGTTTCCCTCTCTTTTATACAGCACTAGAACTCAGGATCATTCAGTGATGCCACCAGGCAGGAGTTTCAGAACAGGCTAAAAGGAAGGCCCCAGTACATACTTAAAAGACAAAATTCTTTACAAGAGGCAATGATGACCATTTCTCTGGATGTCTTTAAAAAAGAATGAGACAAATCATGGGGCTCAATCTCATTACCACTAAATGAAGCTTCAATATTCAAACCCAGATGGGTTCACACAACACCACAAGCAACCATTAACTGTTGTCATGGGCTGGTCGTCATGTGAACCCACCTATGGTTGGGTGCAATTATTGCTTCTTACAGCTGTCAACCATGATAAATGGGTTGCTATGGGATTTGTTTGACTCACAATGTGTTGACCCAAATCACAAACTCCACAACAAGCAAGCTAACTTGTCAGGAGTAGCAACCTCCAAAACTTAGCAGCTCCTCACCTGTTTGATAATATTTTGTCCAGCTACGTTCTGGAGGACAGCGGTGGATGAAGTGGAGGAAGATGATGAAGAGGTGGGTAAAGAAGTAGTGGAAGAACTAGGTGCAGAGTTGCTTGGAGAACTTGTTGCTGGCTTGGGTGCAGAGCTGGGTGCTGCACAGATTCCTGTCCCAGTGACACTGGCTGTTCCTGTTACCGAAACTGTTGGCCTCTGAACTTGGACTGGGCTGGTCTGAGCTTTCACTGGGACAGTCATAACAGCCTAACAAAAAAAGAAAGCAGAAATCTAAAACAATCTCATATTTTCTGTGGAGTCCTTGAATTCAGCTCCCCCAGCTCTTGGAACTCCTCTTTAAAATATTGCTCATTTTGGTAACACCTTAAAACCTATTTTCTTTAGGAAGTCTTTTGCTGTAATGGATTCCCAGTCTCTGTTCCCTGTATGGCTCTCCTTTGATTATAAACTGTATAGCCTTTGCAAGACCATATGGTTCTCCAAATAAATGTTGACCACAATTCTCATCTTTGTTCCACATCAGTTTTGACCAATATAGCTGAAATCTCATCTGGATTAGTTCAAAGAGCTCTACTCCACTCATTCAACACATCTTTCTTCAGTGGATGCAACACAGAAAATGCAGCTTATTCAGGTTCCACGGAAGGGACTGTGTTCCCAAAAGCACCTTAACTTATGTAAGGCCAGAATGTACATCTGGGTTGGAGCCTGAAGGCTTTGCTTTCATTGGAATTGTTGATTCTCCACCTGCTCCAGAAGTATAAGGCTGACTCAAAGAGGGAAAAATCCCCTTGCTCCTGTCTGCTCTAAAGTAATTAAAGAGCCAAGAGAAGAGAAAAGTTTCCATAAGAAGCTCCTGGGTCTTAGGAAACCATGAGCAATTATACAACAATTAGCTCAAACTAAGAGGGGGAACCTCCTGACTAAGCTTTCAAAAGTTCTTGGGAGTCCTGCATCCAAAGTAGTATGGGAAAAGTTACCAATTCTAGAATATACTCCTCCTCTTCCAAGCAAAAATGCTCAGAAAAGAGACTTCCAAAGATTTCATGAAACAGAAGAGGCAGCAATACTACACAGGTTAGCAAATCTGACAGCATTTTATAAGATGGGGATGGGATGGGATGGGATGGGATGGGATGGGATGGGATGCACTGCACTGCACTGCACTGCACTGGAAAAGCCTATTACTTTCTCTACTTGGAATAGAAAAAAGTCTGCAGATACAGCCAGAGATACAGGAAGTTTCATACAGTTGGGTTAACCCATGTTATGAAGGTTTCTCTTTAGAAGAGTGCATTAGTTTAACTGGGTTGCACTGTATCCAATTACAATTAACCCTAATAACTCTCTACAATTATTAGTAGTAGTGGTAGTAGCAGCAGCAGCAGCAGCATATGGACCAAGGAAGTACAGTGACAAAAGTGTACCACATTTCGTGCTGGAGGAAATCATTAGTATGCCAGCTCCTGCTTCATTTCACAGAGACTTTTCTGACCTGAGATAGTACTTTGGTTTGTGCCGAAGTGGGAGGAACACGGATCTGAGGTATCGATGCCACTGGCGGCTGCGTTACTGCTGGGGCTGGCTGAGACACGGGTGGGAGACTAGACTGTGCTGTGACGACTCGGACCTGTGGGAGTCCTGGAGATGCTGTGTTGCTGCCCGCCCGAGCAGCTGGCTGGGATCCAGCCTGTGCCTGGGTACTCTGTGCAGCGGAGAGCAATGTCCCAAGCTGTGGCATGGCAGGAGAAGATACCAAAAGGATGCTATGAAGAATTGAAAAAAGAAAGGAAATATTTGATTAATTCAAAATGAAAACAGCTTCTGCTAGAACTATTGTAAGAAACTGATTTTTCATGTGTTTTGCTTTGGTGTGGCAAATTGGTTGCTTAGAAGTGACACAGGGGCATCGATACAAGTTCTTTCCAATCAGATTGTAACTAGTTCGCTGAATAGATGCACTTCTCACCAGAAATATCACCTAACACATTTCTGTGGCTTAGGAGACCTATATGAGGATTTTTAGCCTCCTCACCCCACTTACCACTGTCCCTAGATTGATTAGGTAAGTGGCACAACTTGTTTTGTCAAAAGAGTTGCCCATTCTTGCACGACTTTCTACATTGGACAACTGACTTCTGGGATTCAGCTGTGGAAACTTCTGCTTCAGAAATCTGGTCCGATCAGCTGTCCATTTTTCAATCTCATTGTGCTTTAAAGCCGCATCATCACCAAGGAGCGTCCCTGCCCACCCAACCAAATAAGAGATCTCTGACTTCACCCAGGGAATCTTTATACGGAGACAGAGAGAGAGAAGAGTTACCTTTGGTTGGGTTTGGCTTGCTCTGGAGCAATACTTGACAAACTCTTGCTAACAACAGAAACGGGCGGTGGTGAGGTTGGCATTGCTGGCAAGGGAGGGGCGGTGGGTGTCACCGGAGTCACAGGAGTTGGTGGCATGCTGGAATCACTAAGGCTGAGTGGATTTGGTTCAGAGGTGCCACTAGTCGCCACTTTTACTGAACTCTCCTTGCTACTGGATTTCTACAAGGACAAAGTACGTGACATCCTTGGAATGACCACTGTATTAAGCCCAGACAATCCTAGATGGGCTGTAGCTCAGTACCAGAGAAAATATTTTGCATGTAGAAGGTGACAGATTCAACCCCTGCCATTTCTGGGCAGGGCTGGGAAGAACCTGAAACCTGGAGAGTTATTGCCAGTCAGCATAGAGTGTGGGCCTGTTTCATGACACAGCAGCAAATTATGTGTTAATTAATTCATGCTGACACAAAGAGGAAATGGCACAAAGCCCGGCAAGTTGTGGGTAACTGACTCAAATCATGAATTTTCCATTTACACTTTGCATAATTAACCTCCTCTCCAAGGCTGCTATTTGAAGCATGAATACAGACACTTTGGGTTGTTTGGGGAGTTTTTGCCAAAAATTATCCTGATAATGAAAATTATTTATTATTATTTTGTTTGCATTTAGATTCTGTTCTCTTTTGTCAATCAAGCCAAAACCTAGGAATCGCCTGAATCCACAGGCAGACTTGTGGATTCAGCAAGAACGTTTCATGTTTTGACAAAATCACGAATGAGAAATAGGAACAAAGAAGTTATTGAATTTTATATGTTTCCAACTGGGACTAATTTTCCTGTTTACAATTTTTTTCTAATTGTTCAATTTATATTTGAATTTTATGCACTGAGTTAAAAGCTTTTGAGTTCAATTAGTTCACCCGGAGTGCTGTATGCCGTTCAAAAATTAGAAATTTGACTTCTTCCTCTTCAAATGTAATGTTATTTTTGTAGGGTGTGCGAACATAAACATTTCCAGGGGTAAAGGCATAGAAAAGGTGGGGAGCTGCTGGTTTAAAGTGTTGACCAATAAAGTGCAAGGGAACAGCACAGTCTGTACCCCAATGATGTGTTCCACCATGAATGCTCCCTTATGTATACGGCCTCCGTGTCAAATCGACCAAAATACTGACCACAGTATCTTCCTGAAATGGCAAAATATGCTTTTTATTCAAACCACTTTTTAGTAGTTGGTGGGAGGATAGAATAGGGTAGGGTAGATCAGAATTACCCACCTCAAGCCCTTGAGCAAGAATGGGTGGAAAGTCTATTCGGTTAAGCACTGCAGATATTTCAAAAAACTTTGCACCACACATTTACATCAGACAACTTACAATCTTTGCAGGAGGTTTGGGTTTCTGCTGAAGAGCTTTTTTGGCCTTTGCTGCAGCGGCTTGGGCCTGATGAATTCGTTCTGCAAGGAAGAGTAAGAAACAATTCTCAAACAGATGTGAACAGAGCAGAGCATACCTGTAAAGCCAACTCACTTTTTTTTAGTATATGTATGGTTCCAAGAATTTCCACTCAACAGAAAATACATAAATGGGAAATGTTACAGACTGGGTAATTTGCAAGCCAAGAAGAAGCAGACCTGACATGAAAATTGTCAACAGCTTTGAAGGCATGTTTTTGAGTAAATGTGTCCCAGGAGGCAGGCTTATGCCTTTCACTTGGCATGATAACAGAAAGCAATTGCTGGAACAAGAAGAAAATTACATGTTTCAGCTCTATAATGGTAAATGTACAGTAAATAGAGCAATATGTGTTTATATTGCATTTTTACTAACAAGCCCAGATTTCTGTTAAACACACCTTTCTAAAAAGAATACATCCAGTTTTAGTACAACCTTTAGTACAAGTAGTACCCAATAGTGTGAATCACAAATTACACTGTTTTACAAGCAGGTCTGCTCAAATAACACTTCTTTATTCTTTACAGAATCCTTCTCTGAGGAAAGCAGGGATTTCTTCTGCCCCCATTTCTAGAATGCTATGAGTTCTGCACTGAAAAATTGTTGACTCAAAACTGACTCCCCCAGACATGCAAGGCAAGACCACACAGTTCCACCATATCTCAGTGTGATTAAAAACTGGAGGCTGCAAGGCTGCAACACTCACCAAATTCCTCCTCACTCCTGTCTCGATGGAGGTATATCCACAGCTTGCGCCCAATATCGTATTTTACGCAGGGATCCTTCTCGTAGTGTAATCGATCCAGTGCGCCACTCACCACTGTGTTAACCTGAGAACAGAACTCACAGTGAAACAGAAGGGCCTAGCCTGACCCGATCTGGAGCCACCACAAGAATCATCTTTTGCACATGCAGTGAGGGAGGGAGAAAAGCCATGACACACGAAAAAGAACTGGGTATCTAAAACATCCCAACTTGAGGTAGCAAAATGTTTGTGGGTCCAACACGATGCTCTCCAGCTCAAAACAGAATTCTCCTTTTATTATTGCTGTTATTTATTTCACTTCTACATTGCCCAGTAGCTGCAGCTCTGTGGGCAATTCACAGCCATACTTAAAAGAGATCTATAGCTTCCGTGAAAGCAATGTATCAATGAGTTAAATGAGGACGTGGCTACAAGTGCCACGTTCCATGCCACCAACTGCTCTTCCAACAGGCAGACTTGACAAAGCAATCTTACTGTTCTGCACCCTGGTGCGCTGCTTTGTTCTCACTCAAGCAAGTCATGAAATCACTGGCCTTACAACCCATCATAACAGAGAGATTATCTTAGCTTTATTAGACTCGCTAGGATGACTACTGAGACGTTGCTAACCCACCTCTCTCCAACCAATATATGCTTGGTTATAAAATACCATGTGAACAGGAACTGAAAATGCTCAACAATATAAAATTAGCAATCTGGAGATTTAAACAAGTAAACCTATGATTACATTAAAGAAAAGAGAAAGACATGAAAGAAATAGGGTCACAAGGAGTTCTAGGAAACATATCAAAAACTAATGATAAAATGATCTGGATTAAAATCTGATGGAAACATTTATTATTTGTTACGTTTTTATCACTCACTTCCTCCAAGGAGCTCAAGAAGGAGTGCATTATCCTGCTCTCCCTTTTATCCTCACAAAACCCTCATCATCATCTCATACACCCCCCACCCCCATCTAGATGTATCCTATTTCGACGTCATGCTCTGTTGAGTGTTTTGGGAGTGGGAGGTAAGCACAAAGTGCAAAATGGATCAAAATATTTGATCTAATCAAGTACTAATTCTTGCTAGTACAAAACTAAAATTGAACTAAACCAAGAACAATTTCTGATGAAACCCTTGTCTGAAGTATTTTAATCAGCTGAGCTTAATTAGCTGCTAAAAGATTCCTCACTATTAGAGATACAGATTGATAACATTCAACAGTATTAATAACACCCATGAAGACTTCCTGCCTTCCTTTGAAGGAAAAGTGTGCCTTGATTCTGCCTGTCCAATTTACCTGAGCACTGGTGACATCAGGCGCAAGAAACTGGGAGTCTTTAAGGAGCTCGCAGATCTCAGCACGAGTTCCCTCTCCATTAGGAAGACGGGCTGCAGCATCCCGAACTGAGGCAGCAAAAAAAGAGCAAAGCGTACTTATATGATTCCATTGGAAACACAAGTTGAAATGGCAGTTCTCAAAGTTTCTATGCTCTATTCACGTCGTGGTTTCCCCACTTGGTAGCAACCTTCCTCTCCTCCTCGAGGAATTACTCTGAATAGTTGTTTCAACATATAGACAAGAAACCAGACTTCAAAACCTGCCTGCCTTCTGTCACTGTTGTTAATTTCACCTTGGAATCCAACACCATTCCCTACAGCAGTATTACCTATGGTTTTCTATTGTTTCATGACTAAGATGTTCAAGCATCTCCCCCTCAGACAGACTGATATGCATCCGCCTATTTTAAAGTATACTCTTTTCTTGATTTCATGCATTTTCGGGACAGGCTTTCTCAACCTCACGGGTTGTGTCATTTTCTGTGTTTCCTTTCTTGTGCATTTGCTGTTATTCGGAACTTGGTTAATTTTGACTACAAAAATTCTCTGGACTTTGCTTCCTGCATCAAGCAGCTTGGCTCCTTTCCTGGCAGCTCCAACCACAAAAAGGATAAGATGGAAGCTAATGAAAAGCCCTGCTATACAGCCATTGCCAGAAAGAGAAAACTATACTGGGCTAAATGGATAAATGTCTGTGCAGGACAGCCTCATGTGTTCCATGTCCCCAGAGGTTTCCACTGCAGTTTTCATCTTTAAGCTATGAAGTTGCCCTAATGTTCTCGGATCACTGGTCTATTTTGCCTACTGTAGTAGCCATCGTGCTCTCAGGCAGAAGTCTTCTTAAGCTTTCTAAGTTAAGTTCTTTTAATTCAGGATGCCTGGAACTGAACCTGGAACCTTTCAATTTCAAAGTGCATCTATCCAAGTACATTACAGACCACTGCATTAATAACGAAACATTAATAAAGCAAGATCTACTCTGCTGCATTAGTAGGCTATTCATCACATGTCTTACGTTCAATCACAATTAAGCTAACTAGAGTATAAGAGGTATTGAATCTCTCTCTCTCTCTCTCTCTCTCTCTCTCTCTCTCTCTCTCTCTC